CCTTCTTCCTACCAGCTCCCTGGCCAGGGCGGAAGTTGGGCAACCCAGTTTGCAGGGGGTGAGGCGAAATTCCGATTTTGCAATTACACTGGCTGGGTCTTGGGGCCCAGAATGCGGCTGGGCCAGCGTGTGGACAATTAATGACTAGGATCCTGCTTTGAGGCCGGGCGAGGGCCCAGCCGGGGCCGGGTGTTTACACGCACGCTCGTCTGTTTGGGGCCTGCAAATCCATGTCAGATGTTAATGGAACAGCATCATTTTTCTGCCGAGGTGGCATCCCTGGGTTGTTTGGATGAGCGGCCGGCTCAGCTCAAGCTGGGAGGTGGGCGGCCCTCGAGGGAGCCAGGGCTTTACTGGAGGCCATTTGTCAGGCTGCTGTGGATGGCCCGGCCGGGCTGGCCCCCTCCAAACTCACCCCTCCGAACTGGCCCCATTCTCCTGGCTCTGGGGACCAAAAACTGGGAGTCTGAAAAATAAAAAGGATCCATGCCTAAATTATAAAAAGGAAACTGAAAACTGAAAATGAGTAAATGTTTCATTAAGCATTGATTCAGCCAAACACCCCAGGAGGGGTCTGACCTCTTGGGCTCAAGCCCAGCCGGGGTCCTGCAGCCTGGAAGTCCCAGGTGCAGCATCCACCCAGCATGCAGTGTGGCCACCCGCAGACACTACTGGGGCAGCCCCGGCCACGGCCACCTGAAGCCAGCTGTGTCCTGCTGTAGAATTCAAGGCCTTTTACAAGACTGAGAGGACAAAAGGAGGGGAGAAAGGCACTCCTTCCCCCCCTCCGGGAGGAGGATCTTTTGCCATCAGGAAGGCAAATGGAGGAAAAGGCCCAGAGAGGGAAGGCAACCTGCCCATGGTCACACAGTGAGCCAGGTCAGGTGTGCAGAGTAGAGAAGGCTGGGGTGGGGGTATCAGGCACTCAGAGGAGGTGGCCCTGAAGCTCTTCTGTGTGAGGTTGTGCCCATCACCCTCACTCTGCAGATGAGAAAGCAGAGGCCATTGTTGAGGCCACAGCCTGGCAGGCTGAGGGCTTGCCAAGGGCCCAAGAGGACAACTGCTAACTCTGGCTTCACCACCTCTCAACCCCCTCTTTCCACACCCACTGCCTCCCAGTGCTTCCTCGGCAAGCTCTTCTTGCACCAGGGCCTTTGCACAGACTGTTCTCCTTACCAAACACTCTTCACTGAGTGCCTCGGGGCCCACTCTGCTCGGTAGTCATCCCTCTGGGAGGCTTTCCAGGCCTGACTGGCTGAGATGCACCCAGCCAGGGACCAGCCCTCATCCCTTCAAGGGTCCTGCTTTAGGGAGCATGGGAAGGGTTCAGACAGCCATGTGAAAGATGGCACTCAAGAAAATGCAGCAGGCACTCAGAAAATGTGACCACACTGCTTAGAGACTCAGGAAATCCCTGTCTCCAGCCTTCTTGCCAGGATTGTTACTAAAGGATTTCTCTCGGGAGGCCTGGGACACAGCTTGGATCATCACATTGGTAGCCTCTTCTTCCTGACCCTGAGCACTGAACCCTCTCCACTCTGCCTCCCACACCACAGATGAGGAGGGTAAGACCCCAGCTGCCAAGTGACCATCCAAGCCCTGCCTCAGTGTTGCTATGTGCAAAGCTGGCTGCTTGTTCAGGGTTGTAAGAGTCTGGGCAGGAACAGGCCCAGCACAGGCTGGAGCAGGTAGGGAGCACAGAGTGCTGGAATGTGGTAGGTGATGGATTTGCGCCTTAGAGAAGCTCTACATGTGGCCCCTCCATGGGGCTCAGCCCCCGCTGCAGCCGTCTTCAGTGAGGGCATGCTTGTCCCTACCTCAGGGCCTTTGCACTTGCATTGCTTCTCTTCCTGCAGGCCTTGGGAGTTGCCCTCCTGGCCCCATCTCCAGGAGGGTCTCTCTCAATAACCTCAAGGGTCCTGGAGCTGATTCATCTGCACTTAAATCCAGAACTAGCAGCTGTGAGATTCACTGCCTCTGTTTTCACATGGGTAAAACAGAACCTCATAGGAGCTCCCTCACAGGGACCCAAGTGACCAACAGGCAATCTGAAGGGTTGGTGACTAAGTTGATTTGATTTGTACTGTCTCCCTCCTAGCACTCACAGTGGGCTTATAATTTTTTTTCCCAGTTTACTGTCCCCCAGCATCCATAGGCCCCTGAGTACCCCCCAGGACAGCCCCAGCTAGGCTTTAAATAACCTCTGGCAGGTTGGGTCCTGTTCCTGACCCTGCCCTGCCCCCTGGCGTTTATTCTGGGAATTGCCCCACAGCCTCCCCAGTTGGACCCTTTTTGCCAACCACACATTCAGACACTGGCTCTGGGTCCAGCAGGGGCCAGAGGACCTGGACACTGAGACAGTGGGACTGTGCAGCTAGGCTGAGCTCCCCACCCCGCATGGTGAGGAGGGCACATTCCAAGGGCATTGGGGAGACCCTTGCATGGGGCCCACCCACCAGTCTGTCTGCCTATGAAGTACAGGGGCCCCAGGGCCCACTGCATCCCCATCCCCAGGGTGGCACCTGGGCCTACTCTTAGCTAGTTCCAGCCCCACTTTCTGATCCGGCCATAGGCCCTGTCTGAGCAGTCTGGGGTCTGGGTCCACCTCAGAAAGCACCTTCATATCCCACGGGCTACCCTCCCCACTGGGACAGGCTACCCACACCTGCCCTGTGGCACAGGGCATGCTGACAGAATGGGTATCATCCTGCTGAGGGAACCCGGCTCCTGCTCTGAGCCTCAGGAGCCTCCCCAACAAGATGGGTGATGACAATGCTCCCTTTGGGGGCTATTGCCTTGGTGAAGGCTGATAGTGTCTCCACAGGAGCCCCCACAGCTGGTGCCCAGAAACTCCAGGGGCAGCTAGGCAGAGCTAGGTGAGTTCAGGAGGCTTGCTGATGTTTCCCCATGTGCTGCCTATGGCGTTGCATATCAGTCTGCCAGGGCTGAGGCCAGCTGCAGGAACAAACAGTGCAAAACCTCTGAGGTCAGCACCAGAGCCCAAGCAGCTGGTGGCTCTCCAGGGCAGCTCAATGCTAAGCGGGAACCCCAGACCCAGCCCTGCACCCTGGGTCCCCAGGCAGCAGGGTGGCTAGGATGAGCTGCACACACAGCACCTGCCACAAGGGTCTGCAAAATCTGGAACACTGGATCTCACCTACAGATGGCTTCCCTGGATCACCTTGATGTCATGCGTAGGGACACCAAGGAACAGGTGGGACAGGACTGGAGAGGGGTGGAGCTGGGAATGTGCCCTGCTGAAGCTACACAGCTGGGTTTCGGTTCTCTGGTTTTAAGGGACCATGGGGGTCCTGAACTGGATGTCAAGTGCCCACTAAGGGTGAAAGAGAGGCTCCAGAGGACTAGGGTGGGGGCCCCGGGAGGTGAGTAATAAAGCCCAGATGAAGGAAGGGCCCCAGCTTCCCCTGTGCAGTCTCCCGGGTTGCCCCATGTAGGGAGGGGTGAGACCCATAAAATATCATCCCATGCTGTGGCCCTCACTCTCCCAACCTGGCCAGCAAGGGCCTGTTGGCACCGACTGCAAGGTGCAGGGAGAGCCTCACACCCAGGAAGTACCTGTCCAGGGACCCTGTCACTGCTGGGGCACTTAGAGCCCCTCTTCCCAGGCCCACAGATACACAGGTAACCAGGGCATGCAGTGAGGTTCATCGCCCACTCAGGCCATGCAACACAGTTTACTGGGGTGGGTGGAGGGGCAAAGGATGGAGCCCAGGCCCTGGGAGATGTTGCGTGATCTCTGGGAGCTCATCCAAGGCCCAGGATGCCACCTCCCTGACAATCCTCCACCCGTCCAGCCCAGGAGGAGGGTGGGGGAGAGCTCCAGGGCCAGGCCTGGAAGGACTGCAGAGAAGCCCAGAGCTGGGCACTGTCCCCCAGTGACTGTGGGGACCCACAGGGGAGCCCAGGGGAGTCTCTGGCTGGGAGCTGGGGAGGTCACCGGCCTTCTGCTGGGGTCTGGGCCGTGACTGTGCAGACTGAGGCTGCAGTGTGGGCCCAGGGCACCACCTGGTGGCAACGCTAGGCCCCAGCCCTCACTCTGTAGCCCCAGGCCAGGAAGTGGTCCCTTCCTGGGCTCAGCTACAGGGTTCAGGATGAGGGCAGCCATCAGGGACTTGAGAAAATACAACTCAGTAAGGAGGGACTTGCCCCATGTCACGTGGTGTGTTAGTTTTCCACACTGCCTGACAAATGGCAGATAGTGAATTATACCTGCCAGTCACCTTGCAGTTGTAGCCAGGGGTCCTGTGCAGAATCTGTTCCAAGTGAGTTTAGGATGCTCACAGGGGCATCTATCCTGACTCAGCTACTGCAAGGCAACCTCAGCCAACTCCCTAGGCTCCAGCTTCTTCCCTGGGAGTCTGAGCCCTCTCCATCGCTCCATAACCTGGCGAGACCCCTCATGCACGAGGGGCTGAACCACTCAGGGACCTGCTCGGCAGGGCACGGCTGGAGTCCTGGATTCTCAGCTGAGCCCACACTGCCTGAGCAGCCCTGCTCACGCTCAGGGCTGTTCTATGGGTCACCAGTGTGGTCATCACACCCCCACAGGTGTCCCCCCAGGCAGAACTGGGCCTCAACGCCGGGCACCTCAGATGGTCACCTCGTCCCTGCAATGGGGCAGTTTCTGTTTGTTTGTTACAATGATGCCCGTGGAGACAACATCCACCCCCCCTGGGTGCCCCCACTGATAGAGAGGATGTGGCAAAATCGCACATGGTCCAGTACTCCTGGGAGTCCGGGCTGGGGCAGCAGAGCCAGGGTCTCAAAGGCTACTGCCTCAGGTCCCAGGGGATACCCCATGCCCACTCCTGCCAGCCAGCTCAGGGTGCTGCAGCTTTAGGTGCAGTGTGGGGCTTTACCAATGCTGGTGGCTTCGGCCTAGCGGGGAGCCCGTCCTGCACCAAGGTCCAGGGGCCCCCACCACCTTCACTGTGGTGCCGACACGGGCAGCATATAAGGCAGAAATGACACAAACATGGTTCTGTACAAAACCTGAAATATTTTTACTTTTTTAAAACTTTGGTCTAAGTTGCCTTAGACCTCATGGACTCGATACAAGAGTAATATGAACTGGGAAATAAAACACTTTAATAGCCACGATAAACTTTGTTAGAAATGTACATGTTGCCAAAATAATAATAAAATTAAAAAGAGAGAAGAGAGAGAGGGAGAGAAAGAGAGAGAACAGCTTGCGGCCCGGGTTAGATTATAGAAATGCTTGACAAGGACAGGCCAAGGGATTTTAAAAACACCAGTTCCGAATAAGCCTGGGACCCGGGAGACTCCCCCTCTGCCGGCCTCGGGCCCGGGGACGGAGTCCCTACTAACAGCAGCGGGAGTGGATAAGGCCTCTGCCCAGCTGCCTCTCCGCGTGGACAGAACATCCAGGTAATGGGTATATAAACAAAGCTCATAAGAAATGTACAAATATAAAAAGCTACAAACATTAATAAATTACGGCATCACAAAACACAGAAACACTTCACAAGGTGCTAGTAAAATAACTGTATCCCCAACCCCCTCGTCATACAAGAAGGAAAACAAAGAGCTGGTATGAAAGTTGAAGATTCGTCTTCAAAATGTGTCTGAAATAGATCTTTTGTGTCCTATTTGCTTCTGTGAAGACAGAGTATAAGGCTGCGCAGACGCCACTTGTTTTTCAGGCAATACCTTAGTTCCTAAAAGGAAAATAAGAGTAAGATAACAACAAAAGAAAAGAAGGAAAAGGAAAAAGCACTGGAACTCAACTGTCCATTCGAGTCAGCAAAAAACTCGTATAAAGGTTAATGAAGGACTCTATAGAAAGAAATTCCTAAAGATACTTTCGCTCTTATAAAAAAGAAGTCATTTAAAAAGCTATTTACACGCTACATTCTATGAAAAATATGCTTCAGGAAGTACATCTAAAATTAAAATACAGGATTGCCTGAGAAACAAATCCAGCCCCTCCGTGTCGTGGGCAGACACACCATCCAGGTAGAGCCCACACCCGCGACACCTCCTGCTAACACAGGGAGCAGAGAAGCGCTTGTCCGCGCGCGCCCTTGAGCCACCGGCCACCACCGGGCCAAGAAGTGCTTCTCTGAGTGCAGAGCTAGACTGGGCCCCGCCACGTGGCTTAGCCTGGGCCCCCCGGGCCCCAAGAGGTGGCTGAGCCCTCGTCCTTCCCTGGGGACCCCACAATGGCTCCTGCATCCACCAGCACACCAACCCAGCTACTGGTCCTAGCTGCCCCAAAGAAATGACCCTGGGCATCAGGGCGTGACACCACCATCCGGGCTGTCACCTCCCACTGGGGAGCCTGGGGCAGACCTCTCCTTGGCAGCCAAGTGCTCTCAGGAAGAGAACGAAGGGTTCCCACAAACATCCTGCTTGCTCTTCCTCATGCTTTCTGTGTTCTTTGCCTTTTTTTAAGCCTCTGGAGGCTACCAGCCTGTGGCCAGCTCAGACTCTGGGGCTAGTGAGCATTGGCTCACTCTACCTTCCTTGAAGGACTCATGCTCCCAGCAGAGCTGCAGAAGCCCTGAAATCACACCCATGCTATGGGGTGGCCGGAGGCTGTCCTGAAACTGGAATGGTCCTCATACTGGCAGGGCCGCTTTTCAGGAACTGGTCACTCTAAGCAACTTGAGAAAGGACGTCCATATTCAAAATGAGGGACCATCGTGCTAGGCTTGCTCCGCCTGCTCAAGGGACAGACGCTCGTTTGGGGGTAGTGATGGCTGGGAGGAGGTGAGGCCCTCCCTGGGTGAGGCAACTTGGCCACCCTCCTGGGGGGCGCTGATGTTTTAGCGGGGCTCCGGGGGGTCCTGAGCAGAGCCGAAGGATCCTGGCTTTCCAAACTTTAAAGGAGCAGTTTTCCGTTCCGATGAATTTTCAAAATCTTCCCAAGCCTCTGCTTGGCGGTGGCCATGCCCTTTTTTGTACGTTTTCCTAGGGGGGTGGGGGAGGGGACACAGAAAAGGAGGATGAGTGTGTTGACAGGGGAGCAGTGTGCTGGGCGGGGGTTCCTGAAGACATGGGAGCAGCTTGCAACCCCTGAGCCCAGTCTGGAACAGGCCCTGGTGGCTGCACACTGGCCCCGACAGCATCTAATGTAGAGGCTACTGCGGCCACCAATGGCCATGGTGAGTGGTGAGGACATTACCAGGACCTGAGGGCATCCTGGGCCCCAAGCCTTGGGAATGGGGCCATCTCAAGCCACCAACAACAATCACGGTGTGTCTCCTTCCCACGGCCAGCTGGGTCCAGGCCAGGGTGCAGGGAGATAGGGCCTGGGGAGCCCCAACATGTGGCAGATGCAGACAGAGGCGTAACGTGGGACCTGGTGTGGTGACACCCTAACCCACACAGAGGGGCTGGTGACCCTGCTACCAGCCTGGCTCAACTCAGGAGGCATCCAGCCCTGCCCCTGGAGAATGGCTGACCCCACCTTCCCTCCGCATCACCCAGGGCTGGGGGCCTGGACCTCTTGGTAACCAGAGATCCATTTTTCGGCCCCAATCTGATCTCTTGATCTCAACAGTGGTCATTTCTTTTAATGTGCAGGTCGGGCAAAACCATTGAGCAGGCTGGCTGCAAACATTCACGTGCGGCACCATGGGGCATGCGATGCTCAGACGGGAACTAACTCAGACCCCAGCATCTGCAGTCCCTGCTCCCCTCATGCCATGCTGTCCTCTATCACGGGACAGTCTGTGAGTCTAGGGGCGCCCAAGGGTCCAGCAGGGGGCAGGCAGGGCAGAGGTACCTTTGGCAGCAGTGTTGTTGTTGGGGGATGATGCAGAGGGCCGCCTCTGTGTGAGAAAGACTCCGGGGGCCATGGGCTGGGCAGTGCGGCCAGCCGGGGCCCCTGCAAAGGCACCGGCCGCTGTGTACTCGTGGTCAGCCAGGCTGCTGCTGTGTGACTCGGGTGGGGGCTCAGGCGAGCTGCTCTCCTGCGAGGCCTGGCTGCTTGCTGTGCTGGTGGAGGCCGGGGTGGTAGAGGCTGGCGTAGTGGAGACCAAGGTGGTGCTGGCAGAGGTGGAAGCGGAGGTGGAGGTGGAGGCAGAGGCGGAAGCAGAGGCAGAGGGGGAGGTGGTGGTAGGCGGAGGCTTCCTTTTGGTGTTCTTCTTCTTCCTGCTCTTCTGCTCCTCCTTGGAACAAAGCATGCATGCCCATTACTGTCAAGGCAGCTCAGAGGCCCCTTGGGCCATGAGGGCAGGGCGCAGTCAGTGCAGCCAGACGGGAGCCACACCCAGGCTCAGACCTACACTGCAGGAACAGTGAGAACCGTGGCCCAGAGGCCTTTCCCATGCAGCTGGGAGGGGGGCCAGACAGGACCCCCAGGATCCCACATCCAGCCACGAGGAATCCCTGATCACATGCTCTCTCTGGGCGGGGGCACCAAACCCACCGTGCTGAGCATCAGAGACCTCAGGCTGGAACCTGGGCTGCCTTCTGGTGCAAGGCTTCACCGGGATGTGGTGCCAGTGTCCCAGTGGGCATTCCCCATGTGGCTAGGCACAGGGGACCAGTGCAGGGAGGGGCGGCAGGTGGCGGCGAGTTTGGGCAAGCAAAGCGAGTGACGAGAGGCCCCATCTCTGCTCCCCAGGACAGCCCAGAAATGCCAGATGCTGGGAAGGAAGGGTCCTCCCTGCAGGGGAAAGGTGCAGAGACCCCCGGGTACCTCCTAGGCCAGGACACAGCCGGCCACAATGGGAGGCGCCTGTCTGGCTGCAGGTTTCAGGCCATCAGTCTCTGCTCCCCACCCCACATTAGGAATTTGGGACCAGAAGAAATGACCACTCCGTGATCACATGTCCCAAAGCTGGACAGCCCCTAGCCCAGGTGGTCTGAACACAGGGATGGAGGGACAGAGACATCAGGGAGTCTGAACCTAGTGGGGTGACGGGGCCCCGTCTCAGTGAGCTCCTCCTCACCTGCTGGGACAGCTTGGCTGCGGCGGCTGCCAGCCCGGTCTCAATGGAGGCCACTCTGGTCCCCTCCCGCACAGGCCTGTCCTGTCTTGGCACCGATGGCCCGACCCTTGCTGTGGAAGAGAAGGGCCAGTCCCTCAGCCTCTGGACAAGCCTGGACCCCCTCATGGTTCTCCCACCCCAGCCCATCCTTGGGTCTGGGGGAGCCTGAGCACCACGTTCACTGGGTAGGAAGCCACAATCACAATATGGTCACCAAGGGGTCAGTGCCACCCTAGAGTTTTCATGGGACAGAGGCCAGGAGGCCCAGCAATATATGGTATATGGAAGATAGCAAAACCCCACCCCACTGTCCACCCTGACAGGTGTCCCACAGCCACCACATGAAGGCCACCAGGTACCAAGATGTGCCCCCTACCCCCAACCCGAACGACCAGTTAATGATGCTGGGGAAGAAGGCTGGCCCCAGGAGTGAGGGCTTTCCAGAGGGTTCTGAGCCAACACAGCAGGGCCTTCTCATGCTTCTGCAGGCAGCTGAGCCCCCCCCACCTCCAACCCTAGACAGGCTGTCCAGCCCACAGGATAGGACAGGACAGGGGTGAGTCCTCAAAGGCCAGGGACACAGACAAGGATACAACAATCTATGTTGCGCCCTGGTGGCTGCCATGCACTACCTGTGGGACTGTAGGGAGCATCATCAGAGCCTTTCCTCTTCTTCGACCGGGATTTGAAGACAGGGTTGTCTTCATCAGACTCCAGTGATGGGTAAACTGAGGGAAGAAAAAGGACAGCAAGGCCCCTAAGCCCCTGGGTACAACTGGGGGAGGGAGCAGAGTGACTGGAAGACCTTGTTGCCTGGTAGACCCAAGGTCACCCTTGGGACTGCCACACCACAAAGCTGCTTGCCATGAGAACCTGCTGTGCATGGGCACAGACACCCTGGGACTCTCCAGACAAGAGTCTTCTACACCACTAGCTGTGTCCGCCTCAGCCTCCCTGGTGTCACAGCCCCTTGCCTCTTCTGATGTCATCCCAACAGCTGTTCACAGAGCCTGAGACTTCAGAGGCCCTACCTTGGAGGCAGCTATGGCAGAGCAGGTAGGGCCCCAATCCTACCGGGGCATCCGGTTGAAATTGTTGAGCAGCTAGGGAGCTACTGGGCTCCAGCACCTCCAGACCTGCCCAGTGCATCTCAGAAGAGGGAACCTCACACAGCAGTGTGGGCAGCTCATGGTCCGCCAACCCCCAAGGCTTGGGGAGGAGCCTCCAGGACTCATGATTCTGGAAGCAGCAGATGCAGAGGCCCTGTGCTCCACACTCAAGAGTGCAAAAAAGTAAAATGAGTAGGCTTTGCTGTCAGTGCTCTTGTCAAATAGGGGCGAGCCCTGTGGCAAGGTCTAAATCTGCCCGCCAGATGTGGGTCAGGGCCCAACTCGGCAACTACTGGCCTATAGCCACTGCTAGGGAGCTGGGAAGGCTGTGCACTCAGCCAAGGCATGCCCAGCCCCAGAATGGTGGCCCGTGCCACCACACCACGCCATGCCACAGGGACATTCCTGGGCTGGAAAGAGCCTTTCCAGAGCCCACTCTGGGGGAGCCAGGGCCATGGTCTGTGCCAAACTCACTGCCTCACAGTAGAGGTGGCCACATGAGCCTCAGTTTCTCCACCTTACACAGAGGAAGACAGGATGGATGTGGTGATCTCAAAGCCCTGTCAGTGTAAAGTGGTTCAGTCACATGGAAGCCTGCCAGGCAAGACCTCAGAAAGGCATATGCCCAGTGCCCTATCACCCAGCCAATGCTCTCCTGGAAATACAGCCAAGGAGGATGAGGACCAGGTCACCCTAGAAACCTGTACAAACATGCACAGCAGGACTATTCACCACAGCTGAAAGGTGAAGCAATGCCGACGTCCCATGGACCTGCACCCAAGGACGTGCAGATAAAACTGTGTGGTATATCTTCACAGGAGTACAGGATTCAATCTTGGAAAGGAGGGAGATGTGGGCACATGCCACAGCGCAGATGAAACCTGGAGGACACTATACTGACTGAATAAACCAGCTCTTATATGATCCTTTTATATGACAGGCCCAGGAGAGGAAAATCCATGGAGACCCCATGCACTTTACAGGTCACCTGGGTTAGGGGGAGAGGAGAGGGAGTGACTGTTAACAGGAACAGGGGTGTGAGATTTTCTGCAATTGACTGTGATTGCTGCACACACCTCTACTGATGCCAAAGGCCACCAAGTTGCACTTCTAAATGGTGGGTTTTTTATGACCTGTAAATTACATCTCAAAATTAAACAGGGCCCAGCTTCCAGGGCCCAGGATGAGTTTCCAGCATATGCAGCTCTGTGCTCAGAGGGTCCTGCCCACTGTGGCCACTGACCCCACTCCAGGCCCTCCCACCAGCAGTGACCCTCACCGTAGTCTGAGTCCTTGAAGCAGGCATCCAGGTGGTCCTGCTCTTCCTCATAGTCCTCCAGGTCCACACTGTTCTTGGCGGCCCTCTTCAGCAGCCGCTTGCCTGAGCTCTTGCTGCTGCTCCCATTCTTCCTGGCACCATGGACTGCCAGTGAGCTTCCTTTGGCCTGGCCAGCACCCCATGTGGTCTGCAGGCAGGAGTCAGAGGCCTGCAGGTTGGCCATGGACAGCATTCCCTGAATGGCTTCCTGTGTGCTGGGGGAGGCCGGGGGCTGGCTGGGAACACAGAGACACAAGCACTCAGCCATGGCCCTTGGCCAATTGCCTAGGGTGCACAGATCAAGGCCCTCAGCCCATGGCCCACAGGTCTGGACACCTGGACAACAGATCACATGCCACAGCCTACAGCCTGCAGCTACCAGCTCAGGGCACCAGGGCCAAAGCATGGCCCACAGCCCATGTGTTGCACAAACACCTGGCCTGGGGAGCCTGAAGAGCATGGAGTGGAGAGGGTAGCGAGGGCTGATGATTCCCCATTGAAAAGGTCAGGGAATCCCATCTGCTCACCCAGCCCCCCTCTAGGGAGAGAGAGAGGCCATGGGATAGAGGTGGGTCACAGTACACAGGAGGATGGCAGATGGGGGAAGGTCTAGATTACACACGACCGTGCACTGGGCTTTCCTACCTTAAAGTTGGCAAGTACACTCAGCTGCCTTCCTGCTGCCAGCCCTGTGGACCCTGAGAGCCTGTGCTGAGCCCTTCCCCTCACTCCTGGGGCACCTTCCCATCTGCCATCCTCAAAAGCAGAGGCATGGGCCTCCCTTCCCATGGGATACCCTCCCCCAGGGGACCCACACCATCTTTCTACACCCCCACACGCCTCTGCACCACACCTGGGTTTCTACCTGCACCACACCCATACCGTACCTGCACCCTACTGGACCCGCACCTGCAGTTGCAGCCATATCTATAGCCCATTCTCACCCACACCTGCACACCTTCACCACACATATCCACATCCACATCCACACCTGCACCACACCTGCACCACACCTGCACCCATTTCTGCATCTATCCCTGCACCTACACTTCCACACCTGCACCCACACCTGCACCACACCTGTATGTACACCTCTACCATACCTGCACCTACACTTGTACCTACATCTCACCTGGACAGCCATAGCTGTACCTCAACTCAGCCCAAGGCTCCCGGCTCGGGCAGTCTCCACAGACCCCCAGGCTTTCTCCTCACCACCTTATCTTCTAGTCCTCTGTCAACCTGCACATCCAGGCAGTGCTGCCCATGGTACCCAGCCTGGGTTCTGGCTATGTCATCCCCTCCCTATGCCTGTGCTCACACATCCTCCTGGCTACACTGTTCCTTTCCTTCAAGAATCAGCTTCTAAAACTAGGCTTTGAAGAGGCGGGACATGGTGACCACTGTCACTCCACAGAGCTGGGGTCTGGACAATGCTGGAAGGAAAGGTTCTGGGATCCTTAGAAAGCCTCCTACCATCCTTCTCAAGGCAGCAGCTCCAGCCTCTTCGTGGGGCTGTGCCCTACTCCAGCCCACACACCACTATAGCCAGGACCCCCCACCTATTTGTACAAGAATTGCCTGGGCAGCTTTAAAATTGCTAAGTCTATGCTCTGACCAGAGATTCTGAGTTGAAGGTCCAGCTGGGATCCAGACGCCCTCATGCTTCCAGAACCAAGCCCACAATTTCCTGGAGACCTACGTGGGAGGCCTTCAGTGTCTCTTTCTGGTCCTTGCCCTTGCCCATCACCCTGTAGACCTGCTGCCTGGCCCCAACAAGGCCAGACGGGCCACCCCAGGCTGTGGAGATGGCCATGTCACAGGCAGAGAGCAGGCACACCTGTCACTGCACCCTGTGCCTATGGGCACAGACTAGAGGTCCAGACTCCCACTGTCCCAGTCCCTCCACATTCTGGGCTCATTTCTCCTGAGACTCCTTCTGCATCAGTGTCACCTTCTCTCCAGCCACCCAAACCCTCTGCCCTCCCTTTGTCCAAGTCTATGGAGCCCTTTAAATAAGACCACCGACGAGGGTCATAAGCCACAGAGAGAAGAGGGTAGCTGGGAAGATGGATGTGGGACAAGTCCAGCACCAGAACACTGAACACGAGAGGCTGTGAGCACCCTCTGTGGGCGAAGAGGCTTCTGCACCACCGCCATCCTCAGATGGACCCACGTGAGCGAAGAAGAAAGAGCCTGAGGCAGTGGTGGGTAGGCGGCCCAGACGTGGACTACGATGCCAGGCAGGGGCCCCACCACAGCCCTGGAGAAGACGCTGCTCAGAACCAAGAGGGTTCCCAAGACCCTGCCAGAGGAGGGCAGGGAGATGGGGCTGCCCCAGTGACCACAGACAGTCCTGTGGGCAGCCACACAAACTAGGACAGGGCTGGGTCCAAGGCCCATGGCCATCTGAGGGTCACACAGCCTCAGAAGGACCTTTCCCTGGCCCTGAGGAGGACAGAACGGCCACCTGTCTCCACAGCCCTTCATGAAAGCTGGCTCCCTGTCCAGAGTCACAAAAATGGAAAATCACACATGGTGAGGTTGCCCTGAGTTCCTGGAGTCCCTCCCTGTACTATCTACGTTGTCTGGGCCATGGTGCTACAGAACAGGGGCTCCCCTCAATTGCCCTCACATGACAGAACAGGGGACAGCTGTGCTGTCCTCTCTGAGCAGGCACAAGAGACCAGCAAATGCAAACAGCTTGCCTATACTCTCTGCAGCAAGCTCTGTGCCACTGTCCACCCAGGCCATGGAGGCAGGCAGGGGTGCCAGGACACCCAGCCACAAGGGTCCCAAACAGGGGTGGCGGGGTCCCTGCTGGAGCCTGTGTGGAAGTGAACTGTCCATCCATGCCACTGGGGTGATCCCAGAGGGTGGAACTGTATTCCCAGCCAGCCTGTCTGTCCATGCCATTGTAAGTGAATCAATGAGCAAAATTTAACCAGTCAACATGGAAAATAATACTTTAATCCTCCAATTATCATACCAAAATCTTCTCCTCCCCCCCCCCACAGCAGTAAACACTAAGCAAACCATCCACAAGAAATTAACATATTTTCCTTCATTTTCTTCAGCTGCTTTTTCCCCAAACACCCAGTACTTAAAACAGAGCAAACAGACCATCAAAAACTGACCTACCGCTCCAAGTGGGAGACTTGGGGAGGAACTGCCCACGGCGGGATAAGGGGCCTCAGACCTCTGCGCAGCGTGCAAGGCACGAGCGGCGTCTGTTGAGCTGCTGCCCCGAGACAGGCTGCCCCTCCCAGCTACACAGGACGCCTCCTCACCAGGGCGGGTGTGGGTCCTCTCTGAAGTGCCCCCGCCTCCACACCCCCAAGGATGCCCTCTTTGCAGCACCCACAATAAAGCACCGGGCCCTCAGCCCTGCTGGCCCTCATCCTGGGTGGCCTCGGGCTCACCAGGAGCTTAGGCCTTTCCATGGCGGTTATGGAGGCCCAGGGTGTCAGGAAGGGCTCTGCAGACCCCAAGATTAAAGTATCAGCGAATGCAAACTACCCCTCCAGAAGAGGGATACCCCTCAAAAGGCTACATGGAGCCCCACACTGGGCCCTAACCTGCAGTGGGTAAGGGGCTTGAGGCCAGGTTTCACCTCCTGGCTACAGATGTCTCTGCAGCAAGGACTAATGAGAAAGTACCTCATGCAGGGCAGGAAATCTGCACCCCAAGGCACTGCAGACCCCTCTAGTCATGCTTCAGACACATTAAAAGAAAGTGCCTATGGCTGTGAACACAATACTGCATGCAAAACGGTAATTTACGAAATAAAATATGAACAACTCATTTAGCCAAAGCTCTTTTCAATCAAGCCCTTAATCTGCCTGGGTGGAACCCTCTGTTATCTCAGAGTAGGCCTGACCCTCTGCCTCCCCCAGGGGTGTGCTGTGCGGTGGACAACGGGACTTTAGGTAGTCAGTTCCAGGTAGGCAGACTCAGGAACTGAGCAGGCACCCACAGGTCCCAGGGTCCCTGTCTCACTTGAGCCAAGGGATGACAAGGGACCAGTTCTCACACCAGGACACCCAGGCCCAGCTGCAGACAACCTTTCAGGAACCCCAAGCTGGAGTTCTCCAATCAGGCAGAGATCCTGGGCCTGTCTCTGCTATTTCATGGCTGTAGGGCTGTGGGAAAGTTGTCTAAGCTTGGTGAGCCTCAGTTTCCCCAAGTGCAGAAAGAATCTGCCGGTGTTGTGAGACTGGGTGGGTTGAGAGGGAGCCACCATTCCCACAGCAGCTGAAGTCCTCCCACCTTAGCCCGGGGCCTTGAAGGGGTGCAGGCAATGGCCCCTCCATTATAGGCTGCTGGTGCACGTGCAATTCCAAGGGTTTCACCAGGAGAAACAATGGTTCGGTGCTTCAGTGCAAAAGCGACTACGTGTGATCCAGAGAGGATTTGTGAGGACCCTCGAGAGAAGAATGACGCTCAGTCCCTCCCAACTGCAAACCCAACTCTCCGGAAGGTGAGGCTGAGCAATGCCCACGGCTGCAGGCCCACCTGTTGGGGTTGTACTCAAGCGCCCCGACCTCCTCGCTGGCCTGCAGCAGGTCCAGGATGCCAGCCGCGGAACTCCCACTTTCCTGCTTGACTTTGGCGTTGCGACTAGGCTTGGTGTCAGTGTCGATGTGCAGAGAGCCCTCATCGGAGGAGTCATCACTCTGCCGGGCGAGGGACAGAGCAGCTGGTCAGGGCGAGGGCTTGGAAGGAGAGGGGGCTGCTTTTCCCCTCGGGGAGAAAAGTATGTTTTATAAAGTTTTTTAAGAGCCCTGTTCTAAGGAACATAGCTGGGGTCTGTGTGGACCACAGCCTTCTCCGGGTCCCCTGAACCACAAAGGATCAGGCTGTCTTCACACCCTGCACTGCTTTATCACAGGAAGCCTGGTTCCAAGCCAGCTTCCATTAGAATGAGCCCCAGTGTTTTACGCAGATTCATGGAAGCTGCCATGGCTGAATGCAGGGAGGGCAGGGAGCATCTGCAGCCTCTCCAGGATCCCAGGCCCTGATGTGTCACAGCCCCAGGTTCAGATGAATACCAAGCTCTCCTGGAAGATGGCTCAGGGGACATGGCCCCACCTCCAGACTGTCCAGGAAGTATGGGGCCAACAGGGATCCCCCCTCCTTGGGGCCTCTGCCTCCTGGACTTGGACATGGCCTTAGAGAGCATCTTAACGCAAGACCCTCAATGGTGTGTCCTCGCCCCACCGCCGACCTCCCCACCCTGTGGGTGAATCTGGCTGCATTGGTCTCCTTCAGCCCTGGTGGCCAATAGCTGGGCCAGGCACTTCCTCCTCCTGTGCCAAGCCTGAATCTGTGCCTAGCCAAGAAAAGGCTGGGTGAGGATGGACACCTGTCAGCACTCTGAGCGCAAAGACCACTCCATTGAGGGGCCAGGCTGTGAAGTCACCAGGCTGTGGCCTTGGGGATACCCAGCAATGGCCACACAGGCTGACCAAGTAGGCCCCAAGGCACCTCACCTTGTACACCGTCGAATCCAGCTTTGGCTTCGTGACAGGTATGGGAAGCATCTCCTTCTTGTCCAACAAGACTGCAAGCAAAGCACACAGGAGTCTGGTGGGGTCTCAGGCAGAGCTGGCCATGCCAACCGCTTGTGGAGCCAGGTCGAGTCCCCCAGAGCCCCCCATCCAGTCCTCACCACACTCACAGGACAAGTCCCTTTTTGGGGTGTTCTTCTTCCTCCTGATGGGAAACTCATCAATTTTGAGCTCCCCATCGTCAGACACATACTCGTACTCATCCCGCACAGGCTTGGCCTTGTCCTCCTTAAAGTTCTGCAAGGCCCCGAAGACACCAGGGCTGGTCGGGGGCCTGAGAGCCTTGGAGCTGGTGCAGCAGAAGAGAGCAGTCAGTGGGTGTCCACATACCACCTCCCATGGTACCCAGCCCCAGTGTCCTCTTGGTGGTGGGTGACCAGGCTGGGGCTGTGGGCCCCTCGATCACCTGTCTGTGAGGAGGGGAGACTTCTCAATCCCAGCTCATTCTCCCCATGCCACGTCCCCTGGAGTACGGTCCTAACTTGCAGCTCATGAGATACAAGGAGTGTCCTTCTCTGAGCAGGTGAAGTGCTTAGGCCTGAGTACCCCAACTGTCCCAAGTTCCTAGGACAAGCATGGGCCTTCTCAGGAAATCTAGATGTGTGCTGGCATTAGCCTTAGACAGGAGCAGGATCTAACCTTTCCATATTTTTCTTCACAGCTATTTTGGAAAAATAGCTTCAGGCCCCAGACCACAGTGAATATGGACTGGTCTAAGAAATACTGGATGACCCATCTCCCTGCTAGGGTAAGGCAGAGCTACTCCAGGCAAGGAGCACCCCACCTACCTGGCTGTAAGCAACTCTGGCCTGGACCCTGCCTCTGCCCAGAGCTTCAGGACTGGTTTCTCTCAACAGTGGGGTCAGCAGGCCAAGGCAGAAATGGCTGGACTTCAAACCAACATGGCTCCAATTCCAAGCAGAAGAAACTAATGTGTGGACACTGTGCTGGGCCTGGGCTGCCTCCATTGCTCCAAGGGTCTGGCAAAGGCTGTGTGTGCATGGGGTATGGGGTGGAGTGTATGTGTGTGGTGCGTACACGGTCTATGACATGGATGTGGGTGTGTCTGTGCACGTGTATGCACATATGGGGGGGGCTGTAGCATGTCTGTGGTATGTGTACATGTATATGTGTGTTGTGTGTGTATAATAAGGACTATATACATGGTGTGTGTGATACAGGTATATGTATGTGTGGTGCATGTGCTGCCTGTGGTATGTTAAATCTGGATATGAGGCAACTTATACATGTTTGTATATGATGCAGTGCATACATTTGATGTGTTATGTAGGTGCGCCCATAACATGTGGACATGCAATGGATGTGTTGCATTTGTTGGAGTGTGATGCAGGAGTGTGGTGTGTGTGTGATACAGGGTACCTGCATGGCATGTGGTATATGTTTGTGTGACATGGGGTGCCTGCATGGTGTGCAGCATGTGTGTGTGTGATGCGGGGTGCCTGCATGGTGTGATGTATATGTATGATGCAGGGTGCCTGCACAGTGCGTGGTATGTACGTGCAATGTGGGATGCCTGCATGGTGTGTGGTGTGTATGTGTGAGGTAGGCTGCATGCATAGTGTGTGTGTGTGTGTGTGTGTGTGTGTGTACATGAGAGAGGGGAGGGGTGTGCCTGCACAATGTGTGGTACGTCTGTGCAATATGAGATTCATGCACAGTATGTGGTGTGTGTGATGCCTACATGGTGTGTGGCATGTGTGTATGTGTGTGTGTGTATGAGAGAGAGAGAGATGTGTGGTGCCTGCACGGTGTGTGTTGTGTATGTGCAATGTGGAATGCCTGCGTGGTGTGTGGTGTGCGTGAGGCAGGCTGCATGCACTGTGTGTGTTGCGGGATGCCTGCCACGTGTGCCTGGTGTGTATGTGAAGTAGGTTCCTGCATAGTCACTCCTCCTGTCAAAGCCTTCACATACCCCAGGAGCTTCTTGTTGGAGAAGGAAAAGGAGAACTTGTCCTTGTTTCCAGCCAGGGGTGACTTTTCCAACTTCTGTTCCTCCTCCATCTTCAGTAAGGAGTCAGGTTTGCTGTTCTGAAAGCAAGACAGGTCTGTCCCTGAACCCACATGGAGCCCAAATGGTGCCAGTGGCCAGGAACATGCCTAGGGAAAGTCATGCATGTCTCCAATGGTTGCCTGGCCCCAGGTCTGCAGAGCTGCCCTCAGACGTGGTGTGGCCCCCAGACTACAGAGCACGGATGATGCAGATGGTGAAGGGAAGCATCATCAACACGAACAGTGACACACTTGTCCTCCTGCACCCAGGCTGCTCCCCACACACACTCAGGACCTACAGGGATATGCTTCATGGCACCACCTCCTGGTGACTAGCAGATATGTGCCTGTGTGAGCCTTTACACACAAACAGGGCCTCACAGGCTCACATTTCTGCTCACACTCACCACCCATATCCAGTGCTTGCACCTCACCTTGTACTTCCACTTGGCCTCAGACTTGCTCTTAGTTTGCTCTCGGATTTCCAGTCTCTCCACATCATTCTGTGTGTGGACAATGTCCTTGTTGGGAACACTCAAGACGCTCTTTGGGGCCTAAAAAACAGCCACCATGATTCAAAGGCAAACATGGGAGAGTAAGTGGGACTCCCTTTCATTGCAGTACAAAAGCCTGACTACTCATGTTGGCCCACAATACTGATCATCCACCCATTAATCACCCACGCATTCATATATTTGCCTGTTCATTCATTCTGCCCTTCAGAGCCTGCCATTCATACATCTATTTAGCCACTATTAGTTCATCTATTCCTTCATATATCCAATCATTCGTCCATCCATTCATCTACCCATTCATTCATACTCCTCTGTTCTTAATCCAGCCACTCATCCAACCATTTACCTACTCATTGGTTCATCCATTCATACATCCACTCCTTCATTCATCCACTAATTCATTCATTTCTTCATCCATTCATCAATCTGTTCAGTCACCCATTCCTTTGTTCATCCACCCATTCCTTTGTGCATCCATTCTTCCACCTGTTCATCTATCCATTCATTCATTTACCCACTCATCCATCAATGCCTACGCTAAGAAAGAGAACACCAGCACATCTCACTGCAATCCTGAGAGGACAGCCCCCTGAGAAGTAAGTCACAGCTTCCCCCAGAAGGAGCTCAGATTCAGTGGTGACTGGTTTCAGGGGCTCAAATTCCTGAAGCCCCGACCTAAGACCCTCTAATCAGAGTGGGCCCAGGCTGGGCCTTTCTGTCTCATTGGGCACTAGGTTCTCCACCAGAGCCTCTCCCCTCCACCAGCACCCCGTTGTTTCTATACAAACACTTCATCCATCTCAGGCCTTCGCCCCAGGGACAGCTTTCTGTTCCTGGCAAACTAGGTGGGGTTATTCCTGGAAGACCATTCTGACTCCTCTACAGGGTAGCCCTCCTGGATGCTGCCCCTGCCACAGCACAAATCCACTGAGCTGCCTCCCTGTGGGCCTCACCATTCTGTTGCTCCTGGGGCACAGAGGCCTGCCTGGGGCCTGGCTGAGCCAGAGTAAGCAGAGCTGGCAAGTCTACCGGGCAGAATATACCCACAGCAAGACCCCAGCTGTTCCCCCTTCCCACCCAGCCACAAACCCCAGAAAGCAAGGACGCACAGCTCCAGCTGTCCCCCTTGGCCCAGCCCCAGCAGGTACCACAGTGCCTCAGGTGAGGTGGAGGCGGACGGGGCCGCAGGCCCACCTTGCTCTTCTTGAGTGGCTCCATCTTGGTCAGGGCTTCCTTGGTGTGGGCCTCCAGCAGGTCTAGGTTGGGGATGGTGGGCGAGGCTGACTCCCGGCACTTCTTCCCTTTCTTCTTGCTTCCATCCTTGAGCTTCAGTGTTTTGGGGGGCTTTGGGGGTTTGGGGGGTTTCAGAGGCTTGGGGATTTTGGACGGCTTGGGCATCTTCACAGTCTTGGGAGTCTTTTTTTTGGACGCTTTCTCCAGGACAGATGGAGGCGGGGTGGCCTCAATGGGAGATGGGGGTTCCTCTTTCTCCCGGTCCTCACCGCAGACCTCATCCAAGGAGGCGACTGTGTTCACTTCTGGTCGGACAGCTTTGGAGGCATTCTGGGTAGGGAAAGCACAGAGTCAGATGTGCTCCTTCCAGATCATAGCTGGAGGGTCCCACGCCAAGACTCAGGAGGCCCTCACTGTCATACTAGGGGAGGGAGCCAGCCTAGAAAGGCATCCTTTTTTTTTTGGTACTGGGGATTGAACTCAGGACCTTGCACTTGCATGGCAGGCAGCAGAACCACTGAGCTAAATCCCTGGCCTGAAAGGCATACTATCTTGTGACCTGCTCGCAGCATCCCATGCCATCATCCTACACACACACACCCCACAACATACAACATGCTCACATTGCCCCAGGTCACCAAGATACACTCACCCACCCAATACCATTAGTGACACGCACATCATCCGAGACCATCAGCCCCCTGATGTTCCACCTCCTCAGCTGTTTCATGCCACCCAAGCACAGGAGACTGCTGGTCCCCTCTGGGCTAAAGGAGCTGGGATTTGAGGTCCTTCCCTGACTCCCCCACTACATGGCACTCTCCTCTATCTCTCCTTTTGTGCACATATCAGGAGCCCACCCCTGCTCCTGAAACCCATCCAAGTGAGCTTCACAGGTGCAGCTCAGGGTCAGGCTAACTCCAGGCCCAGAGAGAGGCAGGCCAACCCACCATCGTCCTAGGGTGTGGCCTACCTCGCTGAGCCTGATCTCCTTGGCCAGGTCTTTGATGAGCTGTGATGGCCTGAAGTGCTCAGGGAGCTCATCTTCATGCTCTGCCAAAGCCTATAGGATAACAGGGGTCAGCAGACACCAACCTGGGCCTCTACAACTCCTCAACCCACCACATCCCAGCTGGTCGTTCCTTGCCCACCAAGTTAGGACCACCACCACCCATACAGGAATGGGACAAGGCACCCCATTCCACAGGTGGCTGTGTCAGCCCAGGGGGAACATGCTGTTCTTGAGGCTGCCACAAACAGGCTGTGGGATGGATCTGGACCAACCCTGCTTCCTGGCCACGTGGTTGAGGTAAGTAGAGAAAGCCTGCGCTGCCCCCAGCCCAAGCTCAAGTAACAGAGCAGCACAGGATGGCCCAGTAAGAGTGCTGGCACCCTCTCCCTCAGGCCACCCGGGCAAGGCAGATGGCACACAGGGCTCTCTGCCTAGCATCCTCTGTGAAGGCCTCTGTGGCTCCCACTGGCTCTCCCTGAGCTGGAGAGTGCCCACTTCACTCAGGCTTCAGTGAGCAGGAGGCTCTGCAGAGTGTCCCAGCAGGAGACAAGGTCCCCAGGGTGCCCAAGGATTACCCCACTCACCCTTTCCCTGCAGCTACCACCCAAGCAAGAGGAGAAGGTAAATCAGGGGTGGGCTTCTCTGGACTGCTCAAGGGGGCCAGCACCATGGGGTCATTGCAGGGAGAGTGTCTCAGAGCAAGGTGGCTCAGGGCTGCACCTATACCAGTCAGCATGGTTCCTGGGCAGGAATGGCTCAGAGAGTATCCCCAGAGCTCTCTGTCCAGATCCAGGTGCCTGCTTCTGGGCTGTCCCTGAGTCCTCCACATTCACACAGTGCTGTCCCTACCAGAGCACTAGAAGAGGGCTACTCTTGACACACAGCCATCTGCCCCACCCCTTAGGGGCCTCAATCAGTGTTAGTAGCAAGGAGGGGACAGCTCTGTGTGTGGGGGGCAAAGGTATTCTCTGGTCCAGCCTGGGCAGGCAAGAGTCACCCCTATTACCTGCTGAGGAGGATGTGTGCTGGGCACTGCCCCTCCTGTCACCCACTCCCCTTCCCGAGAATATGAGCCATCTGCTTCCTACCTGTTTCTTTGTCCATGACCTGAAAGCACCATTGAGAATTTTAGCTCCTTGGACTAAGTGAGGGGGCAGGTGTTTCCCAGACTTGTGAGAACCTGGGGAGGAGACAAGGTTAGCTCAGGGGTGGCCAGCCCACAGAAGGTCAGGGGACCCACTGGTTCTGCCTTCTACCCGCCCAACTGCCAATGGTTCCTCTTGGAACCTGGGGCACTTGTCCACCCTGTGGCCTGCCCTGCCCACATCCTCTGCTGTCTTACCCACAGCTGGCCCACCAGGGCCCTGATGACCAGGCCCAGCCTGGCCCTCTCCCTCTGCCTAGTACCCCAGCCCTACCTCACCAAGGACCCACATTTGTTCTGGACTGTGGGCTATGCACTGTCCCCACAGGCCTGCACCAAGCACCGTCAGATGCCTTCCTATCCCCACCTCAGGCTATGCACTGAGGGGCCGTGCCACATGACTGTGATTCCCAGACCAAGAGAATGAACCTGGTTTTGGGTCTGCCCCACTCCCCCTCTCCCTCTTTGAGGGCCCCAGGCTCAGACACCCAGCCCAGAATGACCCGTACCTTTGAATGCCTCCAGCAGGTGCTTTCCCATGTACCAACAGGCAGTTTCAAAGTTGGGAAACTGAGTCAAGCTGCCCAGTTTCAATCTTCTTTCCACTTCATATGCCCTGGAAGCCACAGAACAGAACTGTCAGTGCATGGAGCTCCAAGTAGGCTATGCTGAGGCCACGGCCAGGCCATGCCAGGCCTTGACCCTACATGGCCAAGGTACACCAGGGGAGCACACTAGGGTGACTGCCTTAGGCGGAGCTTAGCAAAGCCCAGGAAATGTGGCAACAACCTTCAATGACCCAAATCACCAGAAGACTACCCAGCCCTACCCCCAGCCCCTCAGGGCTCCCTCCCTATCCTTCTCCACAGCCCAAGGAGGCCCATTAATGCTGACAGTGATGCCTAGGGCCACTCACAGGTTAGGCCCATCCAGGACTCAGGCCAGAACCTGTCACACCAACTTGGCTGAAGGGGACCCTGCCAGGCAGAACCCTGAGAACAAATGACACTGTGGACACTACCTCATCTGCATCTCCACACTTAGGCTGTGTAGGAAATGTCCCGCAAAGGCCAGGCAATCCACAGGGGTGAGTGTGGCATAAATCCAGCCTGGAAGAAACAGACAGGGAAATGGCCAGCTAGCCTCCGCCTTGCTCCCATGCAAGCCTGACACAGGTTCCAGCTCCTGTCAGCCATCACTTGGTGCCCCTACCTTCCCTGGCTGCCTACCAGCGAGAAATTCTCTGGCCTTGGCTCCACCCTCTGTGGGGGTTGCAGGATAAACCATATCTGACATGGTGGTTCAATCCAGCCCTGCATCACTCAGACAGGGAAACTGAGGCCAGGGAGCCAAGGCATGAGCTCAGGCCACCCATGGGCAGCACTCAGACCATGAAGGTGAGCCTAAACCCCAGATCACCATATGGAGGGGCAGGACGGGATGGAGGTGGGGCTGCCACAATCCCTGGAGTCTGCAGTTTGTCCCCCAGTTATCCCGATGGACAAAGCCATAGCCAGACTCTCAGAAAAACCACAGATCTTCCCAAAAGAGCTGATTGTGAGGAAGCTGAGTAGGGAAGGAGGGACCTATCCAGAACTATGAAGATGACAAAGATTCAGAGGCTGAGAAATCAACTGAACTCTGAGGACCTCTTTGGATCCTTATTTAAAATGGGGAAAAAAATTTTAAAAAATTAGAAAATCTGACCACTGATTGGCTATTTGAAGATATTATGGGCTTGCCATTAATTATTCATTTTTAAAGACAGGACATTCAATTATATACTTTAATAGGAAGGAAATCTTTCAGATAGTGGACTCTATGGATGCAAAATAGGAGATCTGGGGCTCACTCTCTTGCTCTGGTTCCAAATATCCCTTAATAAACAGTCCCAAACCTGCAGACATCCACTTCCCCCTTCAGGGCCAGCCTTGCCCTCTTCAATGCCACCTTGGGCTAAGCCAGGTCTCCTGTGCCAGGAACCTGACCATGGGGAGTCAGGCCCCGAGCCTGGCGGGCTCAGGTGTTGACCAGAGTGGGGCCGCACCCTGCCCACTGCTGGTCTGTGAGGAGTGGGCTGGGTGGGCAGCCAGCCAGGGACACAGTACAAGGGAGGGAGGGAGCAGTAATGTGTGAGGAGGTCAGAGAGGGGCCGCTCACCTGAGGGGATAAAGAGGGTCTGCCCCTGCTTTACTGTGCACTTGTAGCACTTGTCCACCTGGTCGGCAAAGAACATTTCACTATGGTTTGCAGCTGACTGCCAGCGCTCATACAGGGAGATGTTGGCCGAGGCTGGTCTGATGAGATAGAAGATCTTCTCGCCCTGCCGAGAGAGCCCGTTGGCAAAGTCGCAATGCCAGGAATGTGGAGGGAGGACTAACTCTGGGCTGGGAATGCTGGGGTAAGGGGGCAGGACAGAGCTTGTCTGGCACAGGGACAATGCAACTTGGGGGGCCTGGTGATGGGGCTTGACTCGGACAACATCCTGCCCGGGCCCCATTCCAGCTGCAATGCTGCTTTGCAATTCACAAGTCTGCCCACTGGAAAAGCTCTAGGTACAGGAACCCTGGCATGGTCAGGCTACAGCTCATATCCCCAAATGCCATGATTCTGAGACACTATAAATGGTATGTGTATGTGTACCCAAGGAGAAATAAGCCTGCAACTAGCCATGCAGCAAGTTCTATGAAGCTCTGCTCTGGAGAGATGCGAGGCTCATAGGCTGGATTAGGTGGCTCACAGGCTCATAGGCCACCCTTTCCCAAGCAGCCTCACATAGGCCCTAGGTAGAACTCTGCACCCAGAGCCATGAGACCCTCATCCTCCTGCACTGGGTGAAGATGGTTTCAGAGAACACAGTGGCTACTTGCTCAGAGCCTCATAAAGCCAGGATTGGCACCCAAGCTCAGCACCCCAACTTAAGCCCCTACTAGTTCGGAGAAACCCAGCTTGTGGATTATTGAGCCCAAAGCTTAAGGTTCCTGATGTTATTTGCATCCCATTTTCTCTAGCTTCCCTCTTTGTTTCCAGTGTTCAGCCCCCATCCCTCTGTGTAGCTCACATGCTCCAGCCCACTCAGCTGGCTTCCATGTGACCCTGACTTTGGCCGATCCCTTTACCGGAAGTCACCCTTCTCTGAGCACTTGTCCCCATGGGCCTCACTCAACTGTTAAGGAGCTTCAATTCCATGCATGTCACTAGTCCCAGACGCACTTCTACCCAGCCATGTCTCCATGCCCCCTGCCTTTGGGTCAGACAGCTCAGTGTCCCTCCTGTGCCTAACTTCCTGGCCACTCGGGGCCAGGAAGGAGCAAGGGCAGACAGTCTTGGGGACAGACTGTGCACTATCAAAGGCAAGATGTGCACTGTGGGCCATGCCCACCTTGAGCACGTGATACCAGGCAGAGGCGCCCCCAGAGTCGATATGGAAGTCAGTGTAGCTGTCCTTCACACAGATCAGGCAGTACTTGGTCACTTTGGGCTTGGCCAGCAAGGCATCATCAGGCCAATAGTTTTCCACCCAGGACAATTTCTTCACGATGTCAGGAGGTTCCACAAAGCTGGACATTCTGGGGACAGGACAGAAGACTGGTTAGCAGTGACAAAGCCTGATGCTCCTGGAGTGGGAAAGCTATTGTGACATGTATCCCATACTCCTCTTTACTTCCCATGGGCCACATGGCATTGCTCCCATCTTAGAGATGGCCAGAGGGCAAACTGAGTGTAGCTGCTAGCTGTGTCCACTCAGGTCAGAACCGAACTCCCTCTCCAAGCACTGCAAAGCGGGTCACTCTGGGTTGGCTAGCAATCACAGGATCCTGAGAGGAAATCCTTCTCACGTACAGCCCAGCTGCCTCAGCCACAGCTCTCCACAACAGGGAGCAGGGAGCCTGTGACTCCGTGCCATATCAAGTCACTGTCAAATCCAGCTGACTTGAGCAAGCTGAAGGCAGCCTAGGATTCATTTCAATGTCCCTGTCAAAATGTGATTTAAAAAACTGTCTCCACATCAGAAACATCATACTCAGCAGCAGCTGGGTCATGACATTTCAGTCACCATGGAGAATCAGGTTGTGGAGTTTTTGCTGCCTCAGGCCACGTAAGGGTCCCTCATGTCTCCATCACCCCAGCTGAAACTTCTATGATGTCTTTCATATCTCTGTCTTGATTTCCCCTCGGAGGCCACACATACTCAGATAAGAATCTCTGTAGTGAATCCCTGCAATCTGATGGTATCTCGACATCTATTTTAAATACAACTGGACCTTCCTGTGCTGCGACCAGGGTTCGGCCACCCTTGCTGTCCCCAGTTCTCAGGCTCCTCCATGTCCTCAGTGCAACTCATCCTGGTGCCAGCCCAGAGACACCTCCCAGGGACAGCTACCTGCAGTCTACTTCATGGCTCCTGTGACCACCACAGTGCACAGACTGTGCGGAGGTGCCACTATGACCCCCTTTTTGTCATAGTGTGACCCCCTGGAACTCATGCCTGCCTCCTATAAACCCACAAACTAAAATTCCTTGCAGGAATCTGTTTAGGTAATTCCCTGTCCCACAGGCCCCTCTCTTTCTCCCTATCTGTGCTACCTGACCTCTGTGTCTGACCTCCAAGTGTATGACCTCCAGGCTTGCCACGTGCTCCCCAGGACCTGTAAGTAGGAGTTCCATCTGTATCCCTAACCAGAGGAGAGCTCTCCACCTCAGAGACCCAAAATCACAACACAGCCACAAATCATAAGCCCTGTCCTGCTACCCATCCTCAGCAGCCTCAGTCACAAACCCTCACCTTTAAATCTCCAGTGTGTTGCAAACTGGCAGCCTCTCATCTGCCCCCAGGGGTCCTCAACGCCCCCCAGGTGATGTCCAGAGTGCACTGTTGCCCTCAGGGGAGGGTCCCCTGCTGGTTGGAGAGGGTCCCTTGTAGTCCAGCTCCAGCCTAGGCCTTTGCACCCTGCACAGCACAGGGGCCGGCTCCCCCATCTCCTGATGCACCCCTAAGTGCCCATCTTTCTTGGCTTGGCCAACTCCTCAGCAGTCAAGCCAGCCCCTCTCTGCAATGGAGAGGATCCCAACACCCCTGTGAGCACCCAAGGCTGCCAGGAGTGACAGTTTAGATGTGATACATGCATCTGAATGACGCACATCACCCTTGACCCACTGCACAGTGGACACTCAGAGGCAGTGGACCCTTAGAGCTAAGCCAGACAGCCCATGGGATCGGGCCTGACATTCACAGCCTGGCTGATGTCTTGGGGACGACTTACTGATGATGTGGAGGCCTCCCTCTCAGGTGGTACAGAATGGGATCTCAGAGCTTGCACTGTGGCCTGGTCCATTAGAATGCTCTGGTACATAACAAAGGTTATCTACAACCCCCAACAGTCCTTGGATGGGGCTGGGGGGTGGGCGGGAGGCAAAGGGGTGTCCCTGGCCTAGGTGAAAGCCCAGGCCAAAGCACCATCTTGCCCTGACAGGGACATGACTCAGCATGTTCTTTGGTACCAAAGTAAACACAGTGCAGAGTGCAGCCTTGGAGAAAATCCTTCCACTGAGTACTTCTCTGCTGTCATCTACCCCTTTTGCCTCTGCTGTCAGGAAACTCAAAAAGAACCAGTGTCTAGTTATACTCCCTTTCTATGGCTCCTGGCACAGTCCTGTATTCTTTCTTAGTGAGGTTTTTGATAGTTCTTTCACTTTTTCCAATTGCACATGTGTTATCTTGTGTGCTTTCCAGAAGCAGGGAAAGTGGAAGTGATGCAAAAACAAAACCCTCCCTGGCCATTCATGGCTGTGAGTACTCTGAATCTTTCCCAAGGGTCAGCAGGTGGACAGTGGGATTGAGGGAGGGGTGGAAAGGGAAGGTGCTGAACACAGCTAGTGCACAGTCCTGGGAACAGGGAAGGGCCTGCACATGACCAGCCTGAGGGAGGCACTCCACCCACAGTGACTGTGTGCTATGGCAACAACACCTGGGACTCAGCAGGACAAGGACAACAGGGCCTTGTAACCCAAGGAAAGCAGAGAGCTGAGCCAGGACTGGAAAGGCAGGGGAAGTGGGGCTGTGGCCCAATGACTGTGAGCATGCTATAGATGTGTGATGAGCATGTCATGACATCAGTGAGTGTGTCCATGAGCATGTCAGTGAGTACAGTATGTCCCAGCGTGCACAAGTGTGTGTAAATGTCATGTTATTGTGTGTCCATGAATGGTTCATGAGTGTGACTATGTCTCAAGAGTGTGCATCCTGTCTCTGGGAGATGGGTGGAGCCCAAACCAGGAGGATTTCCCTTTCTTGCTCCTTGTTTTTGTCTGAATTGTCCACAGTACCTTATTTTCTCACGTTCAAAGAGAAATAGCAAATGGTAGCCGGTGTCAGGTCTAGTATTCCATGTGCCCCTGAGAGCAGCCCACAGCAGGGAGAGGTCCCCAAGCCAGGCACTGCAGTACCCACATCCAGGGTAGCCCTGTCACCTGGTGTCGGAGAACTCAAGGTTGGTGACATTGAGGACCCGCTTGCGGTTGGTGCTGTAGTAATAGTCCACAAACTCCTTTAGCTTCATCTTGCAGCCCTTCTGCTTGGTGACATCTGTTACATCCACACTCCGTTCTGGCCCTGGGGAGGCAGAAGGAGGGTGTGAGCATGTGAAGAAGGTAGCATGACCTCTCTCATGTCTAGACACGTGGGGTGGACACTGCATGCCCTCAGCTGCCCTTGCACATGGCAGCAGCCACTGAGGATGAGGAGGTAGACCCTGAGGCTTTAGGTGCTAGCATCTTCCCTGCTACCATTCCCCTTGATTCAGAGTGCCTGAGGTGCCCATCTTCCAGTGGCCACAAGGACCTGGTGACACTTTTTGGTGGTGGATGTCAGGCCTCGGCAAGGGTGGCCAGGTCAGCAGATTAAACACATAGATGTTTATGAACAAGTCAATTTCTGCATAGTACACCCTGCATAATACATGGGCCACACCTACTCTTGGAACATTACAGACAAGATACTGCATTTCTATTGTTTGGATAAGTGTCCCCTAGGCCCATGTGTTAAATTCTCAATGCCCAGCCTCTGGTGCTACTGGGAAGTGGTGGAAACTGTGGGACGTAGGGCATAATGTAAGGTCCTTAGATTACTGGGGTTGTACCCTTAAAGGGGATTGTGGGACCCTGGTCCCCTCTTCCTCTTGCTCTGCCATACACTCCTGTCATGATATGCCACCCTCATCAGAGGCCCAAAACTATGGGGCGAATGGATCATGGACTAGAACTTCCAGAACAATGACCCCAAATAAACTTTTTCCTTACATTCATTGTTTCAGATATTTTCTTACAGTAACAGAAAGCTGACTTATACAGGGACCAACTCATTATTCTAAAAACTGATCAACTGATAAACAGCTGATAAGGAAAAGTTTGCCAGCACCAAATAACTAAAGAGTATAAGTTCTTTACAGAAGACCCAGGATCAGCAGAGGGAGTAGAAGGACAGAACGACAAGGTATTTGTCCCTTGACAGGGTCCAGAGTGCCTACTCAGATATGAGGTAAGGAAAACTGGGGTTGCCAAGGACAGAGGAGGCTGGGTGCCAGTTCCCACCAGCCATTGAGGTATCTATCACCAGAGGTCCTGATGGACAATCCTGTCTGCACACCTAAGCAGGAAGGAGACTTGCCAAAAACCTGAACCCGTACCTAAGCAGGGCTCAAGGATCACGTTTACAGGAAACTCCTGGGACACAGGCACCTACTAGGCCACACCACAGGGACACTGACAGCCAAGTCTCTGGTACAATAATTTCTGCTGGGCCCACAACCCCTTTCTCCAACAAACATGAGATGGAAGGGGGTAGGGGCTATCACAAAGGGAAAGGGACTTCCAGCACATCGAAACAAAAAAGCAAGATGTAGGCCTTCTTTGAATTTTGATTCAAACAGCAAGATGTAAAAAAGGTATTTTTGATGGAACTGGGAAGAATTAAACCAGGTCTTACAAGCTATGAAGGAATTATCGTGAATGCTGTAGAGTGTGATGATGCATCTGTTCAAGCTGTATACTGCAGTTTTGTGGGCAAAAATATGTATATAAAAGCATTTGCAGGCCGGAGATTTAGCTCAGTAGTTCTGTCGCCTGCTTTGCAAGCGCAAGGACCTGAGTTCAATCCCTGGTACCAAATTAAAAAAAACAAAAAAAGCATTTGCTTTTAAATACTCCAAGGGTGTGAGGGGTGACAGAAAACAGGCAGAGAGCTGGTGGGTTTTGCGGCCAGTGCCAGGTGCAAAGGACTTGCTGTGCACTTCTTTTGTTTTGTGTGGGCTTAAAAAGGTTTATTTTAAAAAGAGAGAGAAAGAAAAGCTATTGTTCTAAGTTCTACTTTCCTGCAGGAACTGGTATGGAGGAGCCAGGGCCCCTATGGGTAGGGGAGCCAGAGCCTCAGTGGTTCTCAGAGCTGGGGGTGGGGTGCAATCAGCCCCCATGTGGGAAGAGTTTAAAAGATGCCCAGAACTGGTGGGAACTCACTAGAAGCAGCAGTTCTCGCTGGTGTTCCTCACCGCCACAGGCAGCCCTGGGTAGGTAGCAACCAGGCATGGTACAGGAAAGAGGGATGGTGGGCCACTGAGGCAGAGCCTGGGAGCCCCAGAACCTTCCGGGCAGAGCTGCTGCACAGCTGGCTACCAGCATGGAGGAGCCAAGCAGAGACTGCCAGGTGATCCTGTCTGTACACACAAGTGCACACTGACCCATTGGCCAGCTCTGGCCAGGGCAGCACCAGCCACAGCCAGTCTGCCCTCCTTCTGGAGAAAGATGCCTTACAATGAATCTTCTGTAGACCCATGATACCCGACTCCCAGCCCAGGAGGAAGCCCTCCTGACCCTCTTTCCGAGCTGCCCTACAGCCCTCTGGCCCCCTCGATGTAGACATGCCCTTCTGCATTAGTCTGTGAGCTCCACCTAGGTGGTCCCATGGCCTCATCTCCTTGCTGAAATGGAATACAATGGCTTCCCAGGTGGGTGCTGCTATGTGTCCCATGGCTCGCTCCCATAGATGATCACACTGAGTCCCCCGTAACCTCCAGGTTGGCCTTCAAAGCAATAGTCAAGTGGACAGCAGTGGGGTGACTTGTCTGAGCCTAGCCCAGACTCTCCCATGCTGCGTGTGTGTCTTCAGGGCTTTCTCTCTTCTCCCTCCATTCTTAGGGACCGCCACTAACACATGCACTCCAGAAAACATGTAGGCCTCAGAGCCCAGCTGGATAGCTGCCTGTCCCGCTCGGGTCACTTCTGGGCGTGCTGACCCCCATCTGACACACAGTCACCTTCCTCCACCCAAATGGCTCCAACTTCTTGTGTCAGAGGGCTGTGGCTGCCCATGGACATGGGATAGCAGTCACCAGTGGCATCAACAAGAGTCCAGAGGAACCCAGGAGAGGTGGCCTGGGCAGTGAGAAGTGACTGGCTGTGGAGCTGAGGAGGAAGGCCAGTCCCTGGATGTCAGCCCCCAGAGTCTCAGCATATGGCAGGAACATGTGACCCAGAATAGTAGAATTCACAGCTTGGAGAATCAAGGGGTCCCCAGACCAGCCCCCCATAACAGCCAAAGTAACTGAGCAGAGAGGGACCTACCAAGGTCCCTATTGTCTTGGGAGGACCCAAGACCTGATCTAAGAGCCCAGAACAGAGCCCTGAGTCTCACCTGATTATGTCACGTGCAGGACACAGCCAAGGTGTGGGGCTGGTACACACAAGGCAATCAGCAACCCCATGGACCCCACAAGATGAGGCAGTGCAGCACTTACCCACGTAGTTCTCAACATCACTGACGTAGAATGTGGGGGCTGGTACTGCCAGGCCCAGCCCATCTTTCTTGGGGACAAGGATGGGTTCGGTGAAGCCATGCTCCTCCATGTAGCCCAGAGTGAGCTGGCTGCCTGGCACACGGGACACCACGTCTTCAGCACTGTGGGGGGGGTTGCAGGTCAGACCCACGCCATGGCCATTGGCACTAGTCCAGCCTAGACAGGCCTTCAGCAGGCGAGGCCTAGCAGCACCTGATCCCACGCCTCCCAGGCCTCTGGAGAAGGCCACGGCACCACACTGGGGCCACAGGGACAGCTATAGGCTGGCAGGGTGTCCCTGCCAAGCTCCCACCACCTGTGCCCCTGCCCCCATCCACATTACACAAAGAGATGGAGGCAGGGCCACAGTGCTAAGAGACAGCAAGACCTCCACAGCCCTGCAAGCCAACCACCTTCCCACACGGCACAGAGCGGCAGAAGTCATCGTGCCTGGGGTGGGCTCCCTTTCCCACTGCCCACCATAGCCGAGCCTAAGCGGAGGACAGAGTAATGTTCCCATTACCCCTAAGGTGGGCTTGGGCATGAGGCCTCACTGCCCAGGATGGGCCATCCTGGGAAACACATCCAGGAAGAGCTCCCACAGAGGGACCACTGGCCCCAAAACAGTTCCTACTGGCCCCCATGGCCCTGGTTCACAGGAGCCCAACACAACATCTTCAGGAAACTGTGGCTCCTGCTTCTGGGTCCTGGGGTAAGATTCCTCATCTGGAGCCATAGGAGCTGCCCAGCACAGCCACCCCAATCAGCAGACCTGACCAGGCCTCTGTTTCCCTATTGCCCTGATGAAGCTGTGAAGCACAACTCCACACAGCAGGAGCACCTTCCAGAGGCAGGACTGAGGAGGGCATGAGCTGCTAAGTCTGAAGACGGAGTCTACCCCTCAAGAAGGGACCCAGGGGGGCCGGGGATTTAGCTCAGTGGTTTCACTGCCTGCTGTGCAAGCGCAAGGACCCGAGTTCGATCCCCGGTACCAAAAAAAAAAGAAGGGACCCAGAGGCTCCATGGCTGGGAGGGCCACGGACAAAGTTGCATGGAGTCAAGGGCAAACCCCAGGGCCCTTGATTCCATTCCCTCTGTCTCCCTCCTGCCCCAGAGATAGTGGCAGTGCCAGGGCCAGGCACTACCAGACTGAACACAGTGACGTCATGAGTGTCCAGTCTTGGTCTGTCCCTTATTGGCCACTACTGCCACCACAGGGCCGAGGAGATAAGATGGCCCACAGGAAAAGGGAGGAATAACTTAGAAGACAGATGTGTCCCAGCAATCTCCTAGGAGCAGTGGGGGCCTCGAGAAAGCCCCACTGTGCTGGGTGTGGACCTGCCCTGGGCACTTAGCCCTGCCAGAAGACACCAGGAACAGGCCGTGTCAGACGAGCACATCAACTCACACCTGGAAACGCTACAGGGAAAGGCAGCAGCATATTAAGCAGAGGCGTGGTGAAGCCAAAGAGGAGAGGCAAGGACTACTCCAGCAAAGACCTCTGGAGGTGTGGGATGACAGGGAGCTTGGAGGCCAGTGGGCCTGTCCACCCTGGTCATGGCTCACACTGCAGGCTCAGAGCACCAGGGAACCACAGAACAGTATCAGCAGGGCAGCAACACAGTCTACAATTCTGACCACTACTGCATAGACGGGACCGCAGCAGGACTATGGTGGGAGCAGGGTGACCATTTCAAGGAAGGTCAGTGCCTCAGGGCGTACCTGAACAGGTAGACAAGAGAGACAAGGGGGGATTCATGAGATCAACACATCTAGTGCTCGATCAGCTGGGGCTGAGGGAGCAGAAAGAAGCAAAGATAGGTAGATCGGGGATTGGTGTGTAGGAAGAGCAGGAGTGAGGGCAAGAACCAGACCAAGAACTAAGCTAGGGACATTATCTGGTGTGAGATACATGTTGGATTCTCCAGGGGATGTACCAGATGGGTAGATCGGACAGGTCAGGACTAGAAGAGAACCAGAAGCTGGAGTTAGGCTGTACATCCTTTGGGGGCCTAGAACTGAGTTCCTGGTAGGCAGTGCCTCAAGGAGAGCAGTCATCAGGAGAGGAAGCAAGCAGGTGGGAGGAAAACAGAACTTCCACGAGAGAGGGCTACGATGTAGTATTGCCAAGAAGTCAGTTAAGATCAGGAGAGAAGAGTGTCTGCTGGTTGGACCACATGATAATAGCATTAAGAATAAACCAGTACCTAGAAATGTCTCTAATTTCTCATTTTTTATGGCTGAGTAGTACTCCATTTTATTTTAAAAAAACACATTTTCTTTATCCAGCTAAATGGATGCACATTGAGTGCATCTTAAGTGAAATAAATAGGACACACATGTGTACAAACCAAATAGTTTCTCTAGTGTGAGAAACTGAAAGTGTAAATAAGGACTAAAAGGTTTAATAGATAATGTGAAATAGGAAGAAAAGGGGCAAAGGGAAAGGGGGAGTGGGAAGGATAGAGGAAAGAAAGGAATGGAATTGCTATGAGAAAATGAAAAAATGGAAACAAAGTCTCTGTAAATAGGGAGGGATGGAGAGGTTGAAGGGAGGGGAGGGGAAGGGGGAAAAATAAGAACGAAGAGAGATTATGTAAAGGTACAAATTTCCAATGATAAATGTCAGTATATTGTATACCTAAAATGTACCAATAAAATTAATTTTAAAAAAAGAATAAACCAGTAGGAGTGAATGCAAGATAAGGAAGAAGAAAAATGTAAGTAGACAACTGTGAGAAGCTCAGGGAACACCAAGCTCCTGCCAAGTAAGGTTTGGAAGCCACCAGAAGTCTCCCATCTAACAGAGCCAGAGGCAGAAAGCTACCATGAAAAATGACTCCCCTAAAGAAGTGTGCCTCACAAAAGGAAGTGAACTCAAGGAGGGCGTCAGCAGAAACACCAGCCAAAAGAGCAGACCGTAAGAATGAAAGATAATAGAACAGCTGAAAAGGAAATGTTAAGATGAATCTATTAAACACACCAAATGGATAATGAGAAATTAAGCAAAGGACAGAGTAGTACAAAAAAAGAACAGACAATATTGAACCTTTATAGAAATTCTAGAAATAAAAATATGATTAAAATTTAAAACCTAGTAGCTATATTACATGGCAACTGGGTGGGAAAAAAAGATAGTGAACTGAAAGAAAATTCTGAAAAATGACAGAATGCTGAAGAAATGGTAATGAAAAAGAAAACAGAATATTTTTTTCAGAATTGAGATATGACTCCTCAAATTAAAAGGATACAGAGTTCTGAGAAGTATAAACAAAAACAAATGCAGAACCAGAAGTACTATGTATACTCATGATGTATCAAAGACAAGAAGCCAATCACCACATTTACCAGAAACAAAATAAAACCTAGCTATTACACTGACAACAGATTATCAGCAACAAGAGATGTCAAGAGATAGTAAAATAATATCTTCAAAGAGTTAAAGGAAAATAATTTTTACTACAGAACTTTAGATCAACTTCAGAATATTAGAATCATTCAAGAATAAGGATGAAATGAAAACACTGTCAGACAAAACGGTATACTTTTTAATAAGCCTTTGCTGAAAGAAATATTCAAGTCTCTAATGAGAAGACGGCTCAGTTCTGGAGCCTGAAGTCATTGCCTGGCCATGGTGGGATACCTAGAGCCCACACCTGATAAATGGCAGATAGTGATTGGCAACAAAATACAGCCTTTCTCAGATCCAGAATCCAGACACCTGGAAAATAACTTGGTGAAGAGAAAAACAAGAGAGTAGATCTCCAGGAATCAGGAGGGAAGTGACAGAAAAATTAGAACTTCCAGAGAAGTTGGAGAAATGGACCATAACACAGAGAAAAGAATGAAGCAGTCTCAAGGCTCACCCCCAAGCTCCCAGGGAGGGGAACCTGTCTTTGCAGATGCAAGGTATTATGGTTTGTGTTTAGATGTCCCCCTCCCCTGCAAAGCCTCATGTGGATGAGATGGGACTTTCTTTTTCAGAGGTAGTTGAATCTGGAATGTGTGATGCTGGGGTTAAGGGCATGTGATTACTAAACCACTACATGTGAGTGATTAGTTTGGCATCACCCTAATCCCAGTAGTCTGGATGGAATAAAAGAGGCAGAAAAACTCAGTGAAGGTCCCTTGTTGCCTGTTACCTTGTGCTCGCCATGTTGTTTCTCCTCTGCAATGACTGTTTGCCATTCCTGTCTTGGAACCAGCCAACTATGGATTATAAACTGCAAAAACAGCATGGGGTTTTACCCTGGAAGTGACTTCTTCCACATAGTAGGCAACAGTTAAAGAAGGAATCCAGTGCAGCACCTGGATTGCCAGGCACCATTTTGGGAAGATCAATTATTTAAGGCAGAGTCTCAGAACAACTTCCCTTCAGGGTTCCCAGTGTTACCCTCCCACAGTGGCTGGGAGAGAGACAGACACAGAAGACTGTCACAGGGAGGGTGCAGGCTAGACATAGAGCCCCCTGAGAAGTTTAAGTTCAAGCCAGGAAGGACACTGCTGTCTGTGTTGAGAACCCAGTCCAGACAAGACTTTCAGAAGCAGCTGGGACTGAAAACTACTAGCATTAAGTATAGCAGTCTACATGAACCCTTGCACAGCTGCATACATCTAACACAGATCAGAGATCTGATTGCTTCCCTATCCACCACTGTGAGCAAAGACATGCCTCAGCTTAGAAAGTTGCCACATCCTGGGGTGAACTGACAGAGGGGCATCTGGAACAGGGGGGCACCTCACAAACCCACAGGCCATAAATCTCGGCAGAGAAAACTGTGACTTATTGGATTCCAAAGCTATAGATCCTGGAAAGAAATCACTCATTCAAACATACAGAGAAAAAAATATTTTCTTAGTCATTATTTTCTTTTTAAATTTTTTATCTCTTTTTTCTTCACTGGTTTTGGGGGGTTTGGAGATCTTTGTTTTTCCTTTTTTCCACCCTGTTTCATTTTTTTATTCTTATTTTTTCCCTTTTCTCACTTTTTTCCTTTGTTCTCTTCTAGTAACTGTATCTAATAAATTTCCTTTTACTCCTTAACAGGATGGTTTATCTCACTTTTCTCTCATTCTTCTCACCTTCCATTGCTTAATTTTTCTTTTCATTCTGCCTTTCCTC